AATCAACACTGCAGAATGTGCTGCTGTTGCTGCTGCCTCTCTGACTGTCTGACTACATACTTCAAACAGATGGACATCAACAGCAGTGATGGCAGGGACGGAGACAGACAGTTTTAGTTTCAGGGCAGTTCAGTTTCACTGATGACCCTTCGACCATTAGACGACCATCGACCGCTGACATCAGCAGTGTCACTGCGCTCACTGACAGCACTGACAAACATATCGCACAAACTTTCTTTTCAGCAAAGACTTTTTTCCCCAACAACTTGACAGCGCGCCTGGAAACAGTGAACGCAATGAACTGCCGACTTTACTACTCGTCCCTCTTTTAACTGTGTTAACTCTTCATTACGAAAAAAATGAAGCTGCAGCAAAAGCTGTCTCCATCGAAAGAAAAAGGAACACGTCGACTAAAAAGGTTCGTTGAATTCGATTTTGATTAATTAAAATGTCAATCAATTCGAGTGTGAGTGAACGCTTTGTGGTGTTTAGTAAATATTTATACTGCTGCCCTTGTTTTAATTCAATGCGACAACATCCTCTTTGCGGCACGTGTCAGTGAAGTGCAAACTCAGTCAGTCAGTCAGTCAGTCAGTAAGTCCCAGTGGGTTGTCCGGTGGGTGAGTCAGCAGCATCTAATGATGGCCATTGGCCCCCTCTTCTCCCTCATGTTCGCAGTGTCAAACTTCTTCACTCACTCTCCGCAGAGTGAAGACAGCGCACTGGTGCAGTTCTTCTCTGACAACTGGCCCTACCTCATGGCCGCATTTTTTGTCGTACAGATAATTCTGGTTTACGTGCTTGTGAAGGTGTACAAGGCTCGTCAGCGTAGACAGTGGCTACAGCGGGCACAGGAGGAAGAGGAAGAGGGAGAAGGGGAGGAAGAGGAGACTGGCACCAGCAGGACGAGAAAAACAAGTGGAAAGCGTTCCAAGAAGCGAAAGACAAGCAAGACTCCGCGCAAATCGAGCAAACGCAAGTCAAGGAAGACGCCTCGCAGTTAGCTGTCGAGGAAAAGTCAGGGACTCGCGCCATTTGCTCTCTAATAAAAACGACCGCACGAACAGAGTTTTCCTTTTCGATTACTTTCTTTTCATTACTGCAATGATTAGTTAGTTTTAATAATATCGTTACCGCCAAAAGGGAATATCTCTCTCGCTCTTCCTCGCTTTCTCTGTACGCGTTTGCCAAGTGCACTTTGCATGTCGTCTAAGTCTTTATAAATAGAAACGGTAGTTTCTTCTTCCAGCGAATAAGTTCCTCACTACCAGCAGCACTAAGTGCCTGGAAGCACTAAGGTGCTGCTGGTAGACGGACTGTCTGATCTGCACAGTCACAGCTGCGACGACCACCAGGCCAGTCACCACTACCAGCACCAGAGCAAGAGTGACTCAATCTGGCACCATAAACATCGACACTTGTTCGCGTTTTCGTCCTTCGTCGTCGTCGCCGTCGTCTTTTGCTTCCTCAATCTCCACGCTGTCTTTTCCATTTCATCACTACATCATCTGACGCACACAGATTGCCTGTGTCCTTACTACCATCAAGTCTCTTGGAGAATGCATTGTGCAGAAGCATGAGGCAGTCCAGCACTCAAGTCTCTGCAATTGGCATTAATTTATTGCACCAGTGAATATAAATAGCAATCAGGAAGGGTAGCCAGCAGCAAATCTGATTGCCGCTTGATGGTCTAGTTACTAGCTGCTGTCTGTGTTGTGCAAACATGTCGTTTAAAACTTGCTGCTGACAAGTTGTGAATGGAACAACACCCTCCTCCTCCTCTGACAAAGCCCCTCACTTGCTCTCCCTCAAGTCACTTTCATTTTTGGTGACCATTTGGCGTACTTCCTCTCTGGCAAGCACTGCACCGTTACTTCTTGAGAGGCACCGAATGTGCAACTGTGCAACTGTACTCATTGTGACGGGAAGTGAAGATTGACGGATTCTGGCCGATAGCCTCTCTTTCTCCCTGTGGTTGAAGGCATTCACTCTCGGAAGGGTTGGCAATGACAGTGTCTGTGTGACAGTGGAATAGTCGTCACATGCGGCACTTGATGTTAGTTTCGCACTTGACACTTTGCATCCGAGAATGCGCAGTGCCAGTGCAGTCTCTCTTGTAGAATCTGTTTTGTTCTTCTTTTATATAATACGCTATTCTAAGCTGCGGCCGACTACCCACGAGGAAGAGGAGAAGGAGGAGAAAAATATAGCCGACAATTTGACTGAATTTAGGCGCGTTCGCTGCGAGCTTNGAGAATCTGTTTTGTTCTTCTTTTATATAATACGCTATTCTAAGCTGCGGCCGACTACCCACGAGGAAGAGGAGAAGGAGGAGGAAAATATAGCCGACAATTTGACTGAATTTAGGCGCGTTCGCTGCGAGCTTGACACTGGCACATGGGGGCACACGAATGCGACGGCGGTGGTGGTGGCTGCGGTTGCTGCAAAGGAATCAGTCGTGCCGATGACTGCACCAGCTTCTGCAGACGACTATAAAAAGCGCCGAGGGAAGACTGCTGGAACGTCACTGCACTGACACTGGTCGATTGAGCCGTCGACGAGGACGACCACTCATCATTCGGATCCCCGTGGCGCCAGACACTGCTTTGCTTTGCTGCAACCAATTTTGCTACCGAATTCTCCTCTTCAATATCGACACTTCTACACTGCACTGCATACACACCTGTCACACTGATAAATGCTTCTCTTTATTCTCTTTTGGAAGGTAAAACACAAACAGTTCTTGCTGACAGAATATTCTGGTGTGGCAGTGTATGCAGTGGTTTTAGAGCGCAAAGTTCACCAGAGTTCATTCTCACGACACTTTTTCGGCCTTCTCCGGTGGTTCATCATCCGGTCGCACCCTCCATATCGCTACCATCTTAGCTGAGCAGAGAATATCCCCCACTCTACTTTAGTGCCTTTTTCTTCGCACTATTTATTAGTCTTCTAATCGAACCTCTATCTCTCTTTCTCTCTTTCTCTGTTTGCAGAAGTCCTCACCAGCCAGCAGAAAGCAGCAGTAGCCTGGTGGCAGTAGTAGGCAGCACAGCCTGACACTGAGGGTCACCATGTCAACGAGCACCCGATCTCCGAGAGTGGCCACTGGTCTCTTTCACTTTTACCATTTTTCCCTTCTACTGGCCACCTCTCTCTGCCTCCTCTCACTGGCCGCTGCTCAGCCAAATCGACGGTGGCACCAGCGCCACCAAGGTCAGACAACACAAATAACCGACTTTCGGTACAAAAGCGCGCGCATCGATGGCATCACTCGCCTCTTCAACGATTCACTCATTGTCATTAGCAATGGACACTACTGGCTGCTGGCCAATGATGAGCTGCCACGGCTCTACAATGTCCGGGGGCCCATCAGTCATCTGTACAGTGGAATGAGCCGAATTGATGCCATCTGGACTGATCCCTACAATGACATCAGTCCGCAGATCTATCTCGCGTCTACCGTAAGTGCTTACTTCATTGTCACACACTGCAGTGAAATGCCTTAAAAACAAAAAATATGTTCACACAATGCAGAGTCCCACTCATGGCCTTCGCGTGGTGTGCAAGGAATTCGATGATGAAGAATTCACCAGCGAGTCTAGCTTCTGTCACTTGCCGGTCAGTTCAGCCTGGAAGGCGGCGCTGAAAGATTTAAACTTTGACAAGCCCATCGATGCAGTCACTTGGCGAAATCGAACCAAAGATAAGGACGGCGGCTTCTGGGTCTTTTTTCAAGGTAGGCTAAAGCCGAACTGAGCTGCCACTATCTCAGATAGACATATCTTTATGAGGTCAGCTGCTAGTAACAAAAAAAACTAGGAGACTAAGTGAGGGATGCTAATTGTTTTCATGTGTGACAGTGCTCAGGCAGAAAGATCAAGGAAGCAAAATGGTTGCTAATGTTTTTTGTTTCTAATGATTTTCCCTTCTAAATGGAAACCATTTGCAGGCAAAAAGATGATAACTATTGACCCGCTGGAGATGCGTCTTCGCTACACCTATGACATTTCAAAGTGGATGAACATTAGCGAGCCAATCACCGCCACCTTCTACGACTACCGAACACACGTGTACCACTTCTTCTTTAACCAGAATGGCTATCGCACCTGGCAAGTGAACGTCACCTTTATGAACAATCTGCCAATGAGCTGGGTAAGTGAGCGAGCGAGAGGGTCCACTGCTGAGCACAACTAATCGAGTGATTTCTGTCCACTTTGCACTCTCTCCAGGATCGAGCCTTTCTCCACGGCACACTCAGCCCACTAATGAAGATCAACCGTGACTTTTTCGGCTTTGGTGAACACGAACTGCGCAACTGGCCACAGCCAAATCTGGAAACAGTTGCCCCCATTGCAGAGATTAATGGAAATCACCTGGACAGCAAAGTGGTGGACAGGAGCACAGTGAAGACCTCCTCCACCACCACAACCACTCGCCGACCTACAACAACGACTCGAAGAAGCAGCACTCGCCAGTGGACCACCACCGAGAGCAGCATCTCCGATGTGATGTACGTTAGTCCTCGAGGTGAACAAGTCTACGGAACTTCACGCAAGGGGGAAATGAAAGTGGACGAATCAGAGGACATTGCCCGAGGTGCTAACTCTATTGAGCAAATGGAAGCGAGTGAATCAGTCAGCTACCAGAAGCAGCTGATGGAGCTGGAGAAGGAAGGTGTGCGCGATTTTGCGAGCAACACTGAGGGAGGTGATGATGTAAATGCGGCTGGTCTGCAAAGTTTATCACACCCTTTCATTGCCGCCTCCTGTTTTTGTTCTCTACTGTACATGCTTTTTTCGATAAGATTCACCTAATGTGTATTCCTTATGCCTAAATCACGGATTGCCTTTCTCATTAATACTCATTTGTACTGTATAGTATTTTTTCTTTTGTATTTATAACTATTTATAAACAATATAGCTTTTGTACACTGACTGTTTTTACTGCTGATAATAGTAAAAGTGAAACTTCAAAACAATTTTAAATACTTAACATTATAACTAGACAGAGCCGTAACTCTTGAGGCTTGAAGCTTCGTGGTAGTGCGTCTCATATTCAATAATGTCGTTGTGTTGAGAATCATAGACGAATCCAATGTAGTCAATTTCGAGTCTAAATGGACCAGAGAACAGGTCATGCACTAGTATGCCGACACTGCGAATCAAATCAGGCTCAAGACGGACTTGTGAGTCTTGTAGGTAGCCTTGGTAGTGGAAAAAGAACCGAGATAGGGGAATCTAAAAGAAAATTCAAGGTTAGAGTATAGGTTAAAGAGAGAGGACAGATGCAAACCTTGACGTATTGCCAGTACGGACCCCCATGAGTGTAGAGCATGTACTGGTATCGATCAAACCAGGTGATGTCAAGCCGATCTGAAGTATCGAAGGCAATAAAGTACCTTCTGCCGTCGCCTCGAACTCGTAGAACAACATGAGTAAATTGGTAAAATTCATGATGCGTCTCGGGAAGGAAAAAGGGCTGTCGGCTTTTGAGCGAGCCCATGTAGGCGTATCCTGCCCGAACAACTTTACCATCTTTTGGAAGTGTTTTATCTAGATAGCCTGAGAAAAGGGCATAGCCAGCTGGGGACACTGTAAGACTGGCAGATGAATAGCCTGCAAAGAAAAGTTGTGTTTGGTTAGCCAAGGGCAGATTGTACTTTGAAAGTAAACTTACCCAGGTCATAGTCCGAGTCACAGGTAGTGTTCCAGTTGTTTATGTCATTAAACTTGTCTTTTTTATAGTCAAGCCGATAACTGGACAGCTTTCCATTGTTTGCCTGGTTGAAATCCCAAAACTTGACCACCTCGTTATCTTTAAAGATGAAACGCTTGTTGTCAGAGCTCATCATCAGGAGGATGGCTTCCTTGTACCTAGTCCAAGACCATTTAAGTTCTTGTTTAAAATCCTGGACACTTTTCTTTAGGCGCTCAACTTCTGTTCTTTTGCTGCGAATCATCTCCTTCTTTTTCTGTTCCATTTCCCATGAGCCACTTCTGGTTTGCTCAAAGAGAAAGCGCTGCTGTAAGGTCACAGGACAGAATGACCTGCTCAGCATACGAGGCACTGTTCGTACAATGTTCATGTTGACCACTAGAAAAACCAGGCCGAAAAGAAAGTCGTTGATAGAATCGGCGAGTTTGATAATTTCATAAAACTACAAAAAGCGTTTCAAAATCAAAACAAAATAAAAACGTGTGAAAAAATCATTTGCTTGCCCTTAGCGCCCTCTGTATTTTGTGGACTAGTACCTCATCATTTTAATTTTTCTGTCATTTTAAAAATTCAAACGATTATCTAATGATTGTAGGTTAATTAGGTGTCGTTGTTATAACTCTAGGCACTGGACAGTTTTTGTAGTAGAATCAGCAGTTTTGTTTCGGTTGCGCCTGTGCGCATTCCCGAATGAAAGAAGAAGATGCGGCGGCCAATTGGTGCGTGCTCAGGTGCAAGGTGGGAAGTTTAAAGTGAGAGAGCGAAACGTTGCTCTGCCGTGCCAATCGAATTCGGACCCGTCTCACTTGGTGTCTCACCGATGTCCAGAGCAGACCGTGCAATTGTTCAGTTCGGCGCCGAAGGAGTCGAGGAATCACCACCACCATCACCTTCACCTTCGTTCACCGGTCAGCCATGGCTGCCTCTGGTCTTCGCCTACCTCGGCACGGCCGATCTGTTTCGCTTTCGAGGCGTCTCCCGAGAAGGCCGCTGTCAGGTGGACGACTACTGCCGACGGCTAAGCCGACTGGAGCTGAGTGACACGGCAAAGACGCGCTTCAGTTGGGCGCACTTTCAGCTGATCACCCGCCACAACAATGCCTGCCTTCGCAGCCTCAGTCTGGTGGACGTGTCATGGGTGGATGAAGACGACTTCGCCTGCTTTCTCCGCCGCCAGCCACGCCTCCATTCAGTTGATCTCTCTCGCGCCTACCGAATCAGCAATGCGACACTGCTCACTCTGGCGCAGACCTGTCCGGCCGTCGAGCGATTGCACCTCCGCCACTGCAGCTGGCTCAGCGAGGCGACCTTTCTGCAGATGATCACCCATCATCCTCAGTGCGGACTTCAGCAGTTGGTGGAGGTCGACCTGAGCAGTTGCTGGAACCTCACTGACCACTCCATTGGCCTTCTCTTCACTACCCACGGTTCTACATTGCGTCGAGTCACACTGGCTGGACTGTACTCGCTCACCGATGGATGGACTGTCGACATTGACAGTCGTGCAAACTGCCTCACCTACCTCGACATATCCTCCTGCTGGAGAATGACTGACAGTGCAATCGAGTAAGAACAATACCCTAATCAGTGTCTATCATATGCCACAGCACTGCTTACCATGTCTTTGCTTGCAGAAACGTACGCCAAATAGGATGTCTCGAGCAGATTGCTCTGATGGGCTGTCCGCAGGTATCACTCAGTGGACATCGCCTTTTGCTGGAGAGTGGCATCGAAGAGGTGAACTCGCCTAGTTAGTTGTAGGTAGTGCCCGTAGTGCATGTTAGTACAAGCCATTGTTTGTCCAACAGATCCTCAACATTATTGTGGTTACAATCCTTTGCAAATGTCTAAGTCGGTTAATGTATTCACCGTGCATATCATTCGTGTTTCCTAAGCAAAGCAGAAACTGCTGATGAATAAGTAAAGCAGCTAATTGCCCTGTCCAGGACAATTAGGCCAGTGTTGCTGGGCCAATCGTCCAGCCTCTTGTTCTCCACTAATTTGATCAGAGTAAATTGAATTTAGATTCGATTAGCATCTCCACCAGCGTTGGCCACGTCGGCACAACACAATGACTGCAATTGGCAAAGCAAATCGGAGATGGTTGTTGCCTTTAAATATTTAATCGACACTTTTGCAGCGCTGGCCACATCAACTGCAAGTGCACCCAATCTTACCTGCACTGACCAGCCAGTGGTGTACACGTTCTCATTTGTTTCCCACTATATAACACTTATATGATTGCAATTTAGCGAGAAATACTTTTTTTAATAAATTAAATTGTGCACGTAATCTCTCTGGCATCGCTGTGGGTATGTCTATGATGGGCAAGCAAAAGTCAGAGGGGACAACTCAATACCAGTAGTAATTTTGTAGGTGGGATGATTCACGTATATCGGTCAAGTGTACCGACCAATGATGGTCGCCGTTGTCAGTCTCAAGACTCGAGGCGGATGGTGAGAAAGTTGGACCGTCCTGGCTCTACGATGAAACCAAAGCGGTTGTACCAGGCAATCATTTCATCGTTACAGTCGAGAGTGAGCTTGTAGCAGTCTTCATGAACTGCCAGCTTCTTTAGCGTCTCAATGAGAACGTTTCCCAGCTTCTGACCTCGATATTCATCGTCCACTACCACGTCTTCCACTCGTCCTCTCTGTAAATGAGCCGAGTAAGAACAAATATGGCACCTGCAGTGTGATGAACACCGTCGCTTACCTTTCTCGCATTGTGAACCATCTTGTACTCGGTGAAGAGCGTCGCAGTGCCCACCACTTTGTTGGTATTGCAGTCCTCAATTACCGTCACGTAGTACGATCCACTGCTTCTCATCTTCTCAAATTGCTCTGCAGAGATTCAATTATGAAAGTGGCGCTGATGATGAACACCACTACTGACTTACTCTGAAATGCCTCTTTGGACACATCGCCAACTTTGGTAAGTTGACTCAATAAGGTGAGGTATCCGCGGCCAAAGTCGGCCACTTCAAGAGGTCGAATCTTCAAGTGCTCTGCAAGGTTAATGTAAATTAAATTGCCCTCAAACAACGCTGTTAAACGGTGCTACCTTTCAGGCGATTCGGTTCCACAAACTGCTCCAAAACACGTGGATCGTAGAGACACTGCGATGATGTTGATGATGGTGCCATTGTGAGAATAAATCACAGAGCGATTGAGAAAAAAGGAGATCACTAAATATAAACCAGGCACTTGTGATGTGATGGTAAAAGTGGTGATTGCGGATTAGCTGTTGCACGTTGTACTATCTCTATCCACCGAAGTACATTATTTGGTTGCCAACACAAAGGTGAATGCACACGCATGCGGATGCAAAGACGCCCGAGGAGAAAAGTCAAGGAGGAGATGCTCGGAAGCGAGTCCGCCAAAACGGTGCACGAGATTAGACACAGAGATCAGATTATGATGATGATGATGGTGGCGATGCGCCTCACTAAAACTGGCCACCGCCGCCGCTGCCGCCGCCATCAACACAGCGGCTGGTACACAAACACACACACAGCCCGCAAGCACGAACAGACGAAAGTCAGCTGATGATGGGAGCAAGAGAGTCTGCTCAGCGCTTGTCTGCATTGGCAGCTGAATGAAACAGCCGCTTAAAAAGCATATCTTTTTGCTCGATTTCCAAACTAGCTGATAGCCCAGAACCATTTGCGGTTACACCGGCACATACGCACACTACCAGTCAATTATCGAAGTGAACTTTACAGCCAATTGACAGCAACAGCACCGTCAAGAGTAAAGGTTTGACGCACATTGTGGCTGTAAATGTACCAATCAACTGCCATTTATCGAGTGAGGCAAAAGTAGAGGCTCTCTCCAATGAAGCATACAATGGAAACAAATGCCGTAAACAGGTAAATGTAAAAGAAGCTTTGCAGCTGGCTTATGGAAAAGTCTTCAAATTCGTCTGATTTACCCTCTTCATTTCGTTTTGGATTGGACAGCTGAAGCTTGAGGTACTCGTACTCTTTCCATCGATTTATCAAGCCCACCGAAATCATTCGAGCAATTCTGAATGGCACATTAACCGGTTAATTAGCAAGCGAGAACATTTACTAGCCCAATTTACTCACGCCAAATCGAAGGGTTCTTTGTGTTTGAATGATGGCCTAACTGGCACCATTAGCAAATCGATAAACAGCGCTGAACTTTGCCCTTCTGGGGTGATGTATATTTGATCTTCACCATAGGATAACTGGCCGTAACGAAGACTTTCTCGCATCGACACAAAGGCATGTGGCTTTTTATTTTTTATCACCATTTCAAAGCCTTCCGTCTTTGACTTTACCGGCGTCAAGACTTTGCCAAGCTCCCTGTACAGTGTCAGCTGGGAGTTCTACTTGAAAAAACTTTTAGAAAAAGTTGTCTAAAAAAATGAAATCCACTTACAATTAGTGCATCGCTATAGGCAGAATTACTCAACCCAGTTAATATGACTTTTCCAGCTTTGACTGCATCGGCCAGCTCCAGAACCGTGTCGAGGGTTTTCATCTTTTGTGGGATGGTAATGAGCGAACACAGACAGCCAGCGTAGCCGGTGGTAAGGACAAAGGCGGCCGTACTCCAAAAGAACATCCAAGTGTTCATCGAGGAGGTCTCACGTCCTGATGAGCTGCACTGCTGCCGGAACATGGAGTACATGCTCAACCAAAAGATTTTAACGTAGCTGCCAGAGTCGCGGTGGACCCAATTGTAGAGGAGATCAAAGAGGGCACAAATTAGCAGCGACATGAGAAAGTCCATCCACACGTCGAAGCTGAGTGGCTTGAAGGCCAGGTACAGATTGGGCGCCGTGGAAGGGGCGGGGGTGATGAAGGTCACTGAGGTGACCACATGCGGGTACAGATACGGCACTGCTTTCGATCGGTCATAGGTCAGAGTGATCCCGCCGACGCCTAGATCTGCTTGCTGGGAAGTGGGAGAGAAAGAGTAAATGGGTAAAGTGACATTTGAGCAAGCGACCCTTCACCTCAGTGCTGAGTTCGCCGATGATGCCATTCCATTTGTTGTTTGGCAGCAGATTGCCCCAGTGATTGTTGCAGTTGATGATTTCGTATGAAAAGTTAAAATAATCACCAAGTGTTTCAATGAGTTGTATCTCCATTCCACCTCTTCCCTCATATTTCTGTTTTTTCTGATCCCAGTTTAGAAAGACAAAGGGTGGGCTCTGTGGATTAATGGACATGTTTATCGTTTAAAACATTTAAATAATCAAGCGACACCTTACCACGTTGAGAGCTACTTTCAGTGTTTGGTTGAGCAAGTTTAGTTTCATTTGACCACGTGGACCAAGTGTCAAATGCCAATCACGATTGTGCTATTTGCAAAGTTATTCTTCGGTGGTTTTGTTTAAACATGCTTTTTGGCCGATTGTCTCTAGTCTTTTGGTCGGAAGTTGCAGGCATTGTTCAACGAGAATGTGCAGATATCGCGTTCATTCAAATAAAAGCTAATAAGTGGCTAGCAGTTGCTTTCAAGAGAACCGTTTCTTGCAATTACAAAAGTGCCAAATGAGACTTGGCACTCACCACAGTCAAATTCAATTACCTCAAGCGGCTGCAGTTTCAAATGAACCAATTTCTTTCTCCGGTAAATTACAAGTTGCACCAACAACTGAACATTTTGCCGGTGCCAGGTGCCAGAACTGCCTTCTTTCCTGCCTGGTCGACTCTATCTGCTGAGCAGATTTTTCTCTAGGCCGAGTTGACAAGTGCACAGAACTTGTTCATTGCAAGAGTTCTGAACTACCATCGACCGGTACTGACTGCATTCACTGCTACTGCCTGCTGTCAATTAAAAGGTCGACACTTTTTGACAATGGAACTCTCAGGAGCGAACCAACACTGTTTACTGATTTATGGCCAATCAATAATGTTGCCTCTGCTAAACCCTATTATTAGACGTTACTCAGAATGAAAGTTATTCAGAGTGGTGTAGTGGCGTATTGACATCGAAATGTGGACATTGCTCAGTTGCTACAAGCGGCCTTGAAAAGGTATCTTTTCATTTTGTCTTTTATTACAGCTCATCCAAATACGTATACACCCCGTGAATGGTTGGCGGAATCTGCCCTTTACCCTTGAGCAAGTTGGCACGGGCAATCTCAGTAAAGGTTTGTCCATCGAGAATTAGCACAAAGTGAGGCAGTGTTTCGTCGGCGGAGAGGACCACGCTGAGGAGCACTCCGTCGTCCTCTTCAGTGGCACCAGGTCGAGGCACAAAAAGACACTCCCCCGGGAACTGGTCTTGGGTGCCCTTCCAAGTGAGCACTGTCTTGTTCAGTACGTCCAGCTTGCAGATCTGCAATCAGATGCAAACGATGTTAGTAAATCAAAAGCAGCAGCAGGCTAACTGACCGTATTTTCAAAGAATCCTCGCTCAAAAACGCCGCTGCCATAGCAGAACCTGTACTTGTAGCCGTTAAAGTGGCGGTAGTTTATGGTGGGCAGTTCAAAGCCCTGTCTGCCAATCTTTTCAGGCGTCAAAAAAATGTGCTTGTCACCATTGAGGACCGCCTCAGCAGCGGTGTACTCTAAGTGAACGAGATTGACATTTTTTTCGACGACAGACTGAAATGAAAAATGGTCATTAGTGGTGGTCATTATCAGGCAATTAGTTGGCTCAGAATTGCTTACATGTTGAACGTGAAGCGGCATTACAAAACGAGTTGGCGTTGCTTGGTTTTGATCATCGTACACATTGCTGCGCATTGCACTGAGGTCCCACTTTTCGAGAATGGTCGGATCCTCGTAGGCCATCAAATCGGCGACAATGTGTCCATTGTCTTCGTAAGCGTTGATGGTGTGAAAGTAGAAAAATGCTTTGGCGTAGTACTTGCCCACAGATTGACCAGACCGTTTGCAAATCACGTGAAATCGAGTCTGTAAGTGAAGAATGAATCATAATTAAAGAGCTCAAAGGGGTTTAAAAATCTGTTTACATTTTCAGATGGATGCCACTCGAGACAGTCCTTGAGTGGCTTTCCTTTGGCTGTACAAGTTGCCAGCTTGAAGGCGTTCACCACCAATGGCAGCTCAATAAAGACGAGGTAATTGGCGGTGATGGCAAAGCTGTGGTAGTAGGCAATGCACGTCTTCCAGCTGGAGGGAATGCTTCCCAGAATGCTGGCTCGATTCATAAAGCTGCCTGTTTGACAATTTAGATAAAAAAAGTCGTTCAAGTCGATAATCTTTTATTCAACTTACTGTTGTTGCCCTCATGCTCGGTGTCTTTAAAGAGTGGTATCTTCAAAACGTGGTACTTTAGGCCAGTGAGAAAGCTGGAGCTCATATTGTAGGCATAGTCATCGCCCTTGATGCTCTGCACGTGAGAGCAGGCCAAATTGACGCCTGCTACCTTGTCCAGGTTGATCTGTTATGGTTTGGTGTTGTTAGAGTTGCTGTGTCATAACTGGAATAAATAGACACACCTTTTGCTGAACATTGAGCGAGTGGTTGCACACCTTGAGGACATTGCACGTCTCCGAAGAGGAGTAGTACTCATTGGCTAGCTTGAAGATGCCCACACAACCGTTGTCAGTGAGGTCAGATGGCACGATTTGAGAGAAGAAACGAGAAAAGACGTTTTTGCAGGGGTCGGGGTAGGACCGAGTTCCAAACTCGGTAAAAACGGGGCGTTTCACCTGGTTCTGCATTGGGGGACAAAAGAATGTTAAATTACAACTTTGCCTTTAAGTAGTGTTCTGTACCATTTTATTGTACGCCTCCGAGTGCAGGTACTTTGAGTTCATCTTGACTCGTCCCTGGCTGATGGTGAACTTGCAGAGCATGGCACAGCCATCCAACCAGTGGTTGAGCACAAAGTCATCCAGATCCCACTTGGCGGGTCCCACGCGGAGCATCTGCACACTTAGCCACTCGGGAATGGTGCCTGCCAAAAAAAGACAAATCATTGTTGTTGTTGTTGTTGTTGTTGTTGTTGTTGTTGTTGTTGTTGACAGTACCTTCAACTTGGCCATCGATTTCGGCTAGCTGTTCAGTGCAGGAGACGAGCAAATTGTCCATGGTGTACTAGTGAAACAAAAACTGTTGCACTTGTTGCTGCGAAAAACGGCAAAACGGGTCTGGTGCAATATATTCTTTGGTAAAGTAATTTGTAGATTGCTTTGGATGCTGTGTCGAGCCCACCACCTCGAGATGGTCCGAAAAGTGTTGGTGGTGGTGATGATGATGCTGATGGCGATGGCGAACCACGAGTTGCGCTTCCTCGTTGCATCTCTTTGAAGCCGCCAAAACCCGTTTCCCTCCTCTGCTGCTCTACTTACAACTTTCTCCCTTTTCACCTCACGCGCTTTTTCTCTGTCCATCTGTGCGTCTGTCTGTCTGATCTCTTCAAACGCTCTCGTCCGGTAATGACTTCCTGTTGCCATCTATGTATGAAGCTGCCCGTTTATGCACATACCACATCTCTTTCGAACGGTCCTTTTCACTAGTGATGCTGCTTTCTCAATAGAAAAGAAGTTTTTTTCGCTGCACTCTGCCCAGTGCGCACGATTGTGCACGACTGTGCACTGCTGCGCACTGCAAGTGCCAACAGGATTTATTGGCGTACATCATCGACGACGACTATAGTGGCGCAGTTTTTTAGTGACTGCAATCTTGGAAAAAGAGGGAAAAAAGTGTACACAACGAAATAAAACAGTTTTATCATTGAGAGAAAGTGAAAAAAATCATCAGGTGGTGATCATTGAGAGTATCGATCATGGCCGTGAGAACATTGAACATCAGAGCACAGCACTGCAGTGCAACTTCAAGTCTTCTGCTCTTACGTAAGCAGATGGCGATTGTGCAGGTAGTTGAGTAAAATTCGGAGACTAGAAGGCAGCCAGATGGCCACAGTGCCCAGCAGTATGCCAGTCAACTGGTGAAGAAGGGCGATTCGCTGGTTCGGCAGACCGTCGCCCGTCCGCTCCACTCGTTTCTGCACAATGTGCCTGGGCACCGTCTTTCTCTGCTCCACCTGGCCAATGTACGCAAAGAAGTCAATCAGCAGAGTGGTCAGATTGAATGTCTGCAACCAGCCAAACTCGCTTGTCGCGTAGTCGTAGGGGAAGACGTGGTGAAAGTTGTGGTAACCTGTTGAATGAAACAATTAAAAATGTATGCTCAAAAGTTTCTATAACGTCTTTACCCTCTCCAAATGAAGCGTAAATGACAAATTCGTTCTCTCTCGGTTGCACTCTTTTGTCATACGGTCGGTGGCCATAAAGGTGAGCAATGGAGTTTACAGTCCACGTGGAGTGAAGAGCAAAAACGTAACGGAAGCAGACGCAGGTGAGGAAGGCATGCAAAATGCTCTCATTCCAAAGCAGATACGGAATGAGAGTCGGAAGGAGAAACCAGAAGATGACCACCAGCGGAAGGTAGTACCGATGTTGAAACATGACCACTGGATCCTCACGTAAATCAGACAGGTCAATGCTGGCTCCTGAAATTAAAAGATGATTAGTTCGTCAGTGTCGTCAGTGCTTACAAAAGCGTGCAAAAGTAGCTAAATTTGCTGCCACACTTGGAAACTGTTTACAACCGCTTATGTTCGTTGATTGACATTCAGTACAGTAAGCGTCTTGTATTGTAAACATCAATCAAGCTTAATTGACTTGAGTGTGCACACACACTTGACCGAGTGCCACTTTTGATGACTTGCCTTTTAATTTGACATCGGGGTGCTTTCGACAGAGTAGCCATCCCTGGAAGAGGAAACAATTGAAACCATTCATCATCTTTTTTCGAGCACTCCTCTCTACTACTCTGCAAATAAACGACTGCTTACCATGTGGGCAAAAAAGAATCCACGACTGGCATTGTGCGGATCGGCGTCACTTTCGCTGAACTTGTGGTGCACTCGATGGTCGCGGACCCAGACGTAAATGTCATTCTGCAGTGCAATTGTCTGACATATCATGAGGAAGATGCGCAACGGCAGCTTGGCCTTGTACGCTCTGTGAGCCCACAGTCTGTGTCCGCCTGCTCAGATTGAAAATTGAAAAATAACAGAAATAAAATTTAAGTAACCAAACTTGCCTGCGGTGACGCCAATGAGATTGACAAAGAGCGTGGGCGTGTAGACGTAAAAGAGGGTGCACCAGCAAATGTGGAGAAAGGAGTAGAGCGAAGCAAGTGCCAAGAGGTGCACCGAGCCCAGCAGGAGAACATTCCGCCAGACGATGGTCGTCTGGTGTCGGCCATCATTTGTGGAACGTCTATGGACCTCTGTTGTCTGCTTGGTGGCCGCTGGTGGCTGCTGCATTCTCACCTGAGGAAGCCTCATTCAAATGGAGCAAACTGCAAACTGGCCAATTAATCGATCGCTCCACTGATCACCGTCATTCACAGAGACAATGCAGGCAATAAAGACACACTTGTGGTGACACCGACGCAGACACAGACACTGGCAAAGGCATACTGTTCATGGGTGGTCAACAGTGCTCGGTGAATCAGCGCAGTTGGTCACTGTCAACTACAGGTGATTGCCTCAATTGCTATCATTTTTCGTTTTCTTGGAAGCAACCAGAAGAAATGAAGAGAGAAAGAGAGAAGAAAACTGCAAGAGGCTAGTAAATAAAGTGCACCGAAAATGCAAAGGTAAATTGACTACAATGAAAAGAAAGTTATTGTGTAGGCTAATCAAGCAATGCACAGTTTTATTTTTAATTTCAAATACTATATAAAAATGGCAGGCAAAAGAAAGCACAATTTTATGATTGCTTGAAAATGATTGCGATAAAACACAGTTTTATCTCTTTTGAATACTTGAAACACTTTATACTGTTGATTTACAGTAGAATAAGTAAGGTTCAGCGTGGTCACCTCCGGTCTTTGTAGAGCCGAGGCGAATTGAGAAAGTTGTAGTCATTTTGGTAGTCGTTGTATGAGTCTTTGGACAAAGATTTGCCGTTTGGAGAAATGTACTTTAGATCAAGCTCAGAGTTGCCATTGTACAGTGAATTGTCAATCAGGTTCGTTTCGTTTAGCACTAGGTCTGGTTCCGGTCTTTCATCAACGTCATCTTCCCCTTTTTCATTCCCTTGGGAAACTTTGACCTGTGCTCGCTCAAAGGTGTCCACAGGCAGTTTAGGTGCGGCAATTGGCTGCGATGTCACCTGGGGATGGGATAAGCTCGACGTTGACTGTTTTGCTGTCTTTGAAGTGGCCACTATAGTCCTAATTGATTCAATCACAGGATTTATCTGCTGAATTATTCGCCTGGATGGAAATATACGTTCAATGACTTGCTGATATATGGGTCGTCGCACTGAATGTTTGAGAATATGAGGGGCATCTTCGGAGAAGGTTTCCTTCACAACTGGCACCTTGCCGGGTTGGTGCTCATGAAAAAGATTCAGCTTGCTTGATGCAGAATTGAATTTGATTACAAAAGAGGGGACGGCCCCCTTAACTTCGATTGTTCCCGGACTGATGGGGTTGCTCTTTGGTAGGTCAACATTTTTCAAACTGATGCTGTGACGGGTGTGCACTGCTGCAGTGATGGGCTTTGGTTGAGGGGAGTGGTAACTGGTGCGCGCTGGGGGACCAATGTACGATAGTGCGCTGCACATCTTGGGGAGAAAACAAGAATGGTCAATTGAATTTGACAAGGCAATGCAATGAGACTTTTCAACTATCTACCTGCAGCAAAAGACACAAGGAGAGACCATTCAGGAAAAGCATTTTGACTGTTGGAAAATAGTAGTGAACATTAACATCAAAGTAGCAAACACAGCTCTATATGTTTCTCAACTTGCTCTCAAGCCATCATCAAATTGATTGCACACTGTAGAGAGAATCTGCTTTAAACTTTCATAAAAGAGCTACAGAGCTTGTGGCCGCCAGCCAACACTAGTCAGCAGTAGAGTAAATCTAGTCGCACGAATAACCGCAGATGCAAAACAATGAGCTCGTTTGGCAGTCGTCTGCAGATTTGATTTGTAAATTGAATCGCTTCGACAAGTGGTGATTACTTGCCTGTCGATCTAGAAGCCATCACGAGAGGCAGGCCTGTACAAACCGAGTGTGCTGAAAATGGAATCACAGACTGCGGTGGAGGNAGAGCTTGTGGCCGCCAGCCAACACTAGTCAGCAGTAGAGTAAATCTAGTCGCACGAATAACCGCAGATGCAAAACAATGAGCTCGTTTGGCAGTCGTCTGCAGATTTGATTTGTAAATTGAATCGCTTCGACAAGTGGTGATTACTTGCCTGTCGATCTAGAAGCCATCACGAGAGGCAGGCCTGTACAAACCGAGTGTGCTGAAAATGGAATCACAGACTGCGGTGGAGGATTCGTGGGAATAAATGAGTCTGTCTGTGTGAGTGCGATCAGGGCTGACTGCCTCGTGGACACACTCTGGACAATGTCAATCAGTGCCAGAGGTGGAAGGCGGCACTGGGCACTGGGCGATTGACAACACTGGCACAACTGCTCAATGACGAGGAAATCAATCAATGGACAATGAGGTGGTTGATGGGCGCAAAAACAGTACTACTACCACAGCACTACCACCACTACTGCACTACGACAGCACTTTCACTGCTGCTTCAGACAGTGGCGTGAAGATGTATGAAGGTGCATGCTGAGAACGAGAGCGAGAGAGTTGAATTAATCGTCCAGTGATGAGCAGCAGAGTGAGAAGCTCATCGTGAGATGCCGAGCACGCAGTGTGCTAACGAGTCAATTGCCCGACGACCGAGACTCGATGCTGCGGTGCAATTTAGCGGACACTTACGGTGTAATTAAAATATAAAATGTACAAACAGCGCCTCCTCCTCCTTCTCCTCGACGCCTCTGCTGGTGGTTACCCGGCCGGAGAGCCGAGTGCTCGAGAAAGTAGTAATGTTGTGCGTTGCTGGGTGAAGGCACACATTAGTCCCTGTGCCCAAGGCGAGAAGAAGACTGTTCACTGTCCACTGTCCACTCTTTGGCTGCTGCTGCTGGTCAGCTGTTACTGGCCGACATGTCACGAGCACTCACTGTCTCTGTCTCTGCCGTACAGTCCTGCTCTCGATGGTCCCGATCTATATTTACTCAAATGCAGATAACCTCATTGAAGTGGTGCGTCAGCAGCATCAGTGCTCACCTGCTGCTGCTACCGTGGTGAGAAGTGAGATGCCAAAAGATGGGAAAGATGTGCAAAGAGATAGGGACTCAGTGAAGCCAAGTGAGAGGGACACTGCACTGAGGAAGCTAGTGAATTGGCTGATATCAACACAGTTGACACTGGCACATAAAATCAGCACGGTGCCGTGTACACTTTCGCTCGGGACCAATCGATTTTGACTTGACTTGGCAAGAAAAGGAGAAGATGAAGCACGACAATCGCCGCACAGTTGGTACTTAAGTATTGGGCGACAGGCAGACGTTGATGGCACATTAGTTTAATTGAAGAGTCGCTGGCTCGACTACTAATCAGCCATCATCAATCCACACGGGGGGAGTGTAGTTATGCTAATTGGCAAGACGATGGCTAGACGGGGCAGATTGCCATTGATTGTGCCTCGCACGTCTGTGTCGAAGAAAATCGCTAAACTCTAACGGTCGGAAAAATGGTGTACACAACAAAATATTATCGATGCTGAAAGTTTAAAGGTAAAAAAACTGTTGGTGAACTGTTGTTGATGACAAGTACAACAAATAAAGCGATGATCAGAGTGATGATTTGCTTGAGTAGGCAAATGATAAAAAATCTTTCACATGTTACAGAAGCAAAAGAAAAGTTAAGCGTCTATGCTGAAACTGTCGGTGGGATGATCAGGAGAAAGAAGCGGTAGACAAGAATGTGCCTGTGCTGTTCATCTGAGCACAGCAGCTAATGTCCACCGTCTCAGCTCTCGTGTCTGAAGCTCTTCGCCTTGGTATTGCTTCATAGTCAATTTCAATTACGCTTGAAGAGAACTGCCGTGTGCTCGGCTGTACAGAGGCGATAAAACAAACGATAGAGAAGATGAACATGAAAAAAGTGTCTTGCCAATTACTCGCTAGCTGGGGGAGCTGGAGAGCAAACAAGTTTTAAGCCTTCTAATTCTGCCTTCTAATGGATTATCGCCATTTGCCGTTTGTGGTTTCGCTTTGAATCCATTGCCGCCACCGTTGATCACAAAGGCGCTCAACATGCGCTCTCCTGCGCCTCAGACGCCTTATTTCCTTCAGAGAGCCAATCAAGTCCAGTGGCTCATTTTGCTTCTTTGTTGTTGGCCATCACGTTGAGACACGCAAGAGACATGGGACGTATTCAAATCGAATATAGCTCTTTCAGTTGGCCCTCTTCTTCATCGCAATCACTCTCACTTTCTTCCTTCCCTACTTACTTACTCTCTAAGAGAGCCTTTCTCGGCCATTCTTCTCCATGATGGAGACTCCATCACTTGCCCTCGTCAGTGCCGAGTGAGACACTCAACAGACGGACTAAAGGGATGCATCCTTCAGCGAAATAAAACACAGACATTTAGGTTAATTTCATTACAACAAAGTCAGCCCACGGGCAAACAACGCTGTCCACTTTCTGAGAGATACATAGTTCAAGACTGACCATTTCAATGAACACGCAAACAAGCGCCAGCGCTCGCTTCTAGTGAACAATAAAATAGATGTCCAGAAAACTAACATATATAAAAAAGATAAAAACCATGTTAAAGGTGCGCTCAATGCCGCGAAATAGGAAAGGAGATTATGTCAAATCTTGCATCACCATCACATACCTTTGGCGGGCGATGTCAGTCAGTCAGCAGCAGCAGCAGTTGACTGTCCATTGTCTGCGATATCTTTCACTCTCACTTGTTGGTATGCAATGACAAGCTCTTCTGAGATCTTGTCACAATCGGCGGTCAAGGTGAAAGCAGTGTAGAGCAATGTTTACATCAGTCTGTTCCAATTGGAACTGGTTCAAAACTCAAAAATACCCAATGAGAATTTCAATTTTGCCTGATACTATTTCGACAAAAGGCGCCAATCGAGCGCGTTGTGCAGTGCACAATAGAGAAAACACGAGACTGCATGCGGCAAAACAGCAGTTTTGATGATTGATGATTGAAGACTTCAGATTGAATCATTGTTGTCATTGTCTTCCATAATGTTTGGCCAGAACCAGAATCAGAACATGGGGTTCAACTTTGCCGCCCCACAAGCTCCGGCTACGGCGGCATCAAGTTCTACCGGCTTTGCATTCGCAAATTCAGCTACTACAGCGAGTGTTCCGTCTTTTGGCGCAACTTCTCCTCCTCCTGCTTCTACTGCTACTTTTGCAGCCCCCGCTTTCGGTAAGTGAATAGTTATGAAAAAATAGAGAAATTGTGTTAAACTCATGCTTTCCATTTTAGGCAGCAACACCCTAGGTTCATTGACAAGCTTTGGAAGTCCAGCGGGTGCCACAGGCTTTAACTTTGCCGCCCCAAAACCCACAACGGCACCAAGCTTTACCGGACTTGGTTTTACCAGTCCAACTACGACAGCGAGTGTACCGTCTTTTGGCGCTACTTCTCCTCTTGCTTCGACTGCTACGTTTGCAGCCCCCGCTCTAGGTAAGGCATAGTTTTAAGATGGTAGAGTACTTCAATTAAACAAATCTTTAACACTTTTAGGTAGCAACACTTTAAGTTCATTGTCAGGCTTTGGCAATCAAACAAGTGTCCCTAGCTTTGGCAATCAGGCAAGTGCCACTGGCTTTAACTTTGCCGCTCCACGCCCTGCGGCGGCATCAAGCTTTACCGGAGTTGGTTTTGCAAGTCCAGCTACCACAACAAGTGCATCGTCCTTTGGTCTTTCCGCGGCGACTGCTACAACTACTGCAACTACAGCATTTGCAGCCCCAGCTTTTGGCAAGTGCCTAGCTCTTAGACGATAATGAACTTATATTAAACGCATCTTTTCTTCTTTTAGGTAGCAACACCTTAAGTTCATTGTCAAGCTTTGGCAGCCAAGCGGGTGCCACTGGCTTTAACTTTGCCACCCCACGCCCCTCAACAGCCTCAAGCTTAACCGGCGTTGGTTTTGCCAATTCCGCTACCACAGCGAGTGTACCGTCTTTTGGTGCTACAGCTCCTCCTGCTTCAACTGCAACGTTTGCAGCACCCGCTCTAGGTATGTGCATCGTTTTGAAATGATGAAGAACTTAAACTAAATTAATTCTTTACACTTTTAGGCAGCAACACTCTAAGCTCATTGACAAGTTTCGGCAACCAAGCAAGTGTCACTAACTCAGCCAGCTCTACAACTACAACTACTACCACTTCAAGTGTATCACTGAAACCAGCAACGGGATTTTCAATTACTTCTCTAGCGACGAGTTCAGCTCCTCAAACTACCACAGCGAGTGTACCGTCTTTTGGCGCTACTTCTCTTCCTGCGTCTACTGCTACTTTTGCAGCTCCCGCTTTCGGTAAGTGAATAGTT